TTCGATTGTGCCCGAGTTACCATTGCTTGGTTTATCAGTGCTTGCCCTTGGCTTCTTCTTGTAAATGCAGCCGATTCTTGACTTGGTCCTCCTTCAGATATCAACACCTCGAAACTTCTCCCAAGCTACAACATATAAAAAACTTTATTAGTTACCATATCAATCAAATGACATACATCAAATGCGTAATGCATAAAAAACTAACATTTAAAACCGTCATGTCGGTATTCATGATAGTAAACAACCCATAGCCATATTCCCTTAGCCTTTTCCCAATTGCACCATGTGTATGCTGTGGTACAAAACTTTTCAGAAGCCTCTTCAACTGCTTTTTTTCTAACCTACAAAATGACATAACAGAATGAAGTTAATACGTCAAGAAGTACATATAATGGCAATGACCATAACAAACAGCTTACTTGAAAGTTACTCCTTTGTTGTACACTATTGGACTGAGTTGGTATTGTAGTTGGTCCTGCATCATTGCTTTCTGAGTTGCCCTAACATGCCCCTGCATCATTGGCATGTGTTGTCTCCTGCTGTTGTTGTTGCTGCTTCTTAGTTGGACAACCAATCTTGTTGTGCCCTTCCCTATGACAGTGTAAGCATCGAATTATTCCACCGGTCGTGCTCATTCTGTTACTAGTAGTCTCAATTTCCTCCATTATCCTTTTCTTTTTAAGCCTGCTAACTTGCTTCTTTAGTGGTAGAGGTTCTGGGGGTTGATGGTTTGTTTTATCCCAAAACTTACAACTTCTCAGAGGCTGCATCATGAACTGGTATACAGCAAGATGCTTGCTTTTCTTGTAACAGTCCTTTATATAATCCTCTGGATTGAGTTGCTTCGACTGGATTGCGCAAATGGCATGTGAACAAGGTATTCCAGCCAATTGCCATGCTCGACAGGAATACTTTTTTCTATCCAAATGGACAACATACTTGTCACCGTTATTCATGATCTCGTATCCATCGTCTCCATTCCAAATTGGATGACAGAACCTACTAGCAGCAATGTTGTCATCCAATTTTTTTATAATCCTAGGCCCACATTGTCTAGGCTACTTTGAACATTCATCTCTTTGTCTTTGCAACCTTGTCATAACCATAACTCTGATATCTTCAAGCATACTGATAATTGATTTGTACCTGGCTCCTATAATCCTACCGTTGAAAGCCTCACAAAGGTTGTTATCAATGGTATCGCACTTGAATTCTTCACTGAAGAAGGCTCTACACCAATGCTTTTCTTCGATTTGGAACAATGCTTCACAAGCTTCAATTGACAAGGCATTTAGAGCTTCTTTGTGAATTCCGAAATCTGCCATATTTGTGCTCTTTGCAATCAGCCAAAATTGCCTCTGCAGTTGATCACTTCTGTACTTCTTTGGCCAATTGGCATATATGTGGCAAGCACACATTCTATGCTCAGCGAATTGCATCAACTCAGCTATCGCTGGAACAAGTCCCCGCAAAATCAGCAAATATTTGTAAGCTACACGAATGATATTAGAAAGCTAATAATTCAATGACATTACCTTTTGTTGGTCGCTTATGAATGCTCAACCTCTTCTATTAGTTATTTGAAGATCAGCCATCAAATTTTTTAGAAATCAGGACCAATTGTCCTTGTTCTCAACCTTCACCACAGCCCAAGCAATTGGAAACATTTTGTTGTTTCCATCTCTCCCAACCGCGGCCAATAACTCTCCCTTGCATAATCCTTTCAAAAAACACCCATCTAATCCTATCACTTTTCTACAGCCAGCTAAGAGTCCAATTCTATATGCATCAAAGCGTATATACATCCTACGAAATTGTGTCCCATGATGAGGCAAAGGCTTCTCCACAGCTTCTACATGAATTCTACTAGGTGGATTTTGAAGCCTACATTCCCTAGCATAGTTCCAGATCTCTGCATATTCTTCCTTGTAGGTACCTAGCAATGTACTTATCACCTTGTGCTAAGCCCTTTTGCACTGATTTTTGGACACATTAACACCTAGCTGCTCTTTCGCTAGCTGTTTCAATTGAGGAGTCTTAATTTCTGGCATTGCCTTGATGGTGTTGAAGAAGTGTTTGGCCAACCACACACTAGTCACTCTTTTATTATCAAATACAATACCGCAGTTATGCTCCTCTTGGAGTGATCGGATTTGGAACGAGCCACTCTTCTTATTCAATGCACCGTATATTTTCCATGGACAATTGTCTTGTGCACACTTCACTCTAATAAAATTCTTGGTATTACTGGTGAATTTAACATTTCTCTGTTGAGTGATGATGTACCTGATAATAGCATCTCTAAAATGCTTGGCATCATCAAAATTCATCGATATGCAAAAGGCAGGAGATGTACCTATTGAATCATAAGAGCGATACTGACTTTTCCTTCTATGCTGCACTGCACCATCTTCATCATCATCATGCTCCGAGATATTACCATCATCATGCCCATTTTCCTCATTATAAGAATCATCACCATCAGTCACATGAGCTCCTTCGTCCCTATTGAATGAAATGCCCTCATTCACCACCTCAAATGGTACTTTTCTCCTTTGTTGAAATGCTCTCACTTCTTTCCTTACTTGTGCAATGTCCTCGTCATCAACACCACTTATGCAAATGGTATGCACTAATGTTTCCTCATCTTCGTCATTCGACAGTGCAATTTCCTAAGAGCACAAGCTTATTCTAGTTGATTCTTCGGACAATGTATCTTCACTATCAGATAAACCACTAGTATTCTCAAGTAGGTCAAATAAATCTAACACTGCATATATATGCGAAGCCTCGGTCTCCTCTGCTCTCACATCTCCTTCTAAAACAACTCTATCACTGGCCTGGGTTTCAGCACCAACTTCTAACACTGCTTGCTCATCTTCATCGCGATGATATTCAGTATACACATAAACATCATTACCATGAAGATAATGATAAACAAGATCCCTCACACCACTATCATCATGCAGATATATCAAGCCATCCTTAAGACCCTTATCAGGTACTTGATAATGTAATTTCCCTATTTTGCATTGCAAGTGTTCCTCTATATCTTTCTTAAAGTCTTTATATGACAGCTTACTAAGACTGACAAGGATAACAACCTTTCCACCAATGTATTCCTTCTCTTCCCCAATCACAAACCTCCCGCCGTACCAAACTTTAATGGGTGCATCGGTATCGCCCATATTAACACTGCACCCCATAAAAAAAATTATTTCTGTAATAAGGGACCACAACACAAACAGACAATTTCAATTTCAATAATCAGTCCCCACAACCACAACAAAAACACTGCACCCCATAAAAAAAAAGTTATTTCTGTAATAGGGACCACAACATAAACAGACAACTTTAGCATTTAGTCCTCACAACTACAAAAAAACACTGCACCCCATACAAAAAACAATTATTTTTGTGATAGGAGACCACAACACAAATAGGCAACTTCAACAATGGTCCTCACAATCGCAATAAACAATCAGGCGTGTCAGTCAGTGAACACAAATCAACAAATTATAAGAGCGAATTAATTAAAGCACTCACCTTTACACTATGGCACCAAACCCAAATCGACAAAGATATCGCCTTTTTTCCACGCTTTTACACTCTGTCAACAACATGAAATTGAATAAGCATTTGCTCACTTTGTCAGTCAGTCAACACAAAATAACAAATCACTAACGTTTACCCTCTGTAGACCAAGATTTGTCACGCGACAAGCCCTAACTTTTCCCTTCAGTCCGTCACCTTTTTAGTCTCTGTCCCGTGAGCAGCAAAAACAAAGATCGAAGGGGAGAAAGATCAAAACCCTAATTTGCCATTACAGAGAGTGCTGGTGAGAGTTGCGATATGGGACTTTGGGCGTACAGAGAGAGTGGCAGTGAGAGCTCGATTTGCTTTAGAAGAGACGAAGTATTGAGGAATCGAACAAAATCGAAGCCCTAATTTGTGATTATCTCAAAGAAATCGAGAGAAAGGTGGAAGACAGCGTGCACGAACAGGAGAAAGATGACGTGCGTGTGAGAAGCCCTAATTTGGCACTTACACGAGACGTCGTCGTTTTCAGGCGTCGTTTCTGTTAGAGGGAGAGATTTGTACACAATTTAGGAAACGAAGTTGTTTCTCTCGGACAAAAATTTCCACGTAAGATTTCCATTTATTTTTAAAAATTCCACGTCATATTGTAAAATTAAGTAAAAAAATCCACGTAGGACGATTTTGCCGGAAATGGCACTCAAATGATCTATTTTACTCCGATATGGTACTTAAGTGAGCAAAAAAAAAGTTATGTCTTCAAGTGAGCACCGTATAAAAGTTAAGACACTCCTAGTGTCATTATCCCAACATTACGTATATAATCTAAATGTCAAATATTTTCATATCTCTAATGCTCTCATGTTAGTCTTAATTGACTCGTCTGATATTAGCATGCGTGATGTCACTTTTAAAAGGAAAAAGAGACTGATGTACATAATTCAACAAAGTCAAGTTAATTACTGCGATGATGAATAGAACATCACGCTTGTAGATATTTCTTACGTCAATCATGATTTGATTGTTTCACTTGTATAGAGACCCCGTGGGGAAATTTTGAAGCTATCTTGATTTAAATTCAGGCATGCGCAAATTTCTAGAAGTAGATATTTGGGCTATTACTTCGAAAATTTCATTTTGCTTTGGTTCTTTATGCATATTGCATACAATGCGAATAATAGATTGATTTTGTGAAAATCTGTTGATTTGAAAAAGACGTATTGTTTTGGATGATTTTTCTATTATCTAATCTATCAATTTGTACTTGCCTAATATTTTTGTTTTTTTAAGTATAATTATGCACGAGAATATTTGACTTTAAATTAATGATTCACTAAATACGAAATAAGATAGGACATAAGAATATCCGATTTTAAATATGCAGTTCACTAAATAGTGAATATGATACGAAGAAATCCGGGATTTCTTATCTTAATCCTCCAGAGTTCTATCCGGTTTGGAAATCCGTACGGCCAATCGCAGCCCAAGATGTTAAACAGACCGAAGGAAGAGCAAGGAAGAAAGCCTGAGAGAAAGGGACGGCCAAAAGCCAAGCATGGAGGGCGCCATCAAGAAGTTCCAAGTCCATGGCGGTATCGTCACTCCCCTCTCGCTCGCGCTCGCGGCTCCTCGCAAGCCCCGCACAAGACGACCCACAAGCGTCGCCGTACTCCGCGGCGGCGGCGGCGGCAGCAAGAAGTCAAGATCCCCGAACACCCATTTGCAATCATCCCGCCACGAGATCGAAGCCCCGCGTTGCAGCGGCTCCACGCAGCACAGGGCGATGCTCGTGGAGGCCTTTCACGAGCACCGGATGCTCAACTCGTTGCTCCAGAGGCTCGGCGAGGAGGGCGCTTGCCCGCTGCGGTTGCTCGAGGACGATGGAGATTGGACCCGGGACCAGTTCTGGGCCGTGGTCAAGTCCCTGCGCCACGCTTCGAGGTCCCGTGAAATTCTCAAGGTATTGGGCGACTCTGTTTCTTGGCAAGTTTCGACCTTTGAGTTGGCCGGAGCTTTTCTGGTTAGTCCAGAGCTTGGTGCTTTAGGATGATATTCCTTTGGTGCCGTGTGTTTTGGTCGCTGAGAGAAAAGAATGAGGAAATGGGCAGTGAGGATTTGATGCGAAAGTTGAATTACAAGGCTATTAACAGTGAATTGTTGCTTCCATAATCCAACTCCAACTTTTACTGGGACAAGAGGATGTATTTACTGCTTGAATGTTTTCTTAGGCTTTGAACATGGCAGTTGTGATACTTGGGCTTGTAGTGGATCTAGCCCTTCACTTCTCTTTAGCTGGTAAGCCAATGAATAACTTACTTATGAAAAAAGAAAAAATGAGGGCAGTCCAATGTGATGTCTTCACTTGGTTTGGGATAATATTCTGGTTGGTACTATGTTTAAGGCTTTTAGCTAACTGTGATGATGTAGAATCAGGATTTTTCTTTTGATTTTTGTTTTTGTTGGGGGTGACAAAATAGAAACTACGTAAAAGGTGAAGCCTTTTGCTATAATTGTGAATTGCTTACACTTCCCGCAATACCAATTGAAGTTGTACAGATGTGGAAAGATGCCATTTGAATTAGAGTGCTTCAATGATTTGTAAGGGTCTTCAGTGATAAGAACTGATTCAAGAATCTTGTCATCTTCCCTTTTTTTCTGAACTCGTTGAGGAACTAATTTTAGACGAATTTTGGATCAATAGTCTAATCATGATGGTGTTAACAGGTATTTGATCTGTGGAAGGACAGAAGACCATCACGCCTTACTGAGTTCAACTATGAGACGATCATACTGTTGTTATGTGAAGAGGGTCTGATGGATGAAGCAGTTTCAGCATTTCAAGAAATGAAAAATAACTATCTGAGAGCTTCTGTAGAAATATACAATGCAATAGTCCATGGATATGCCAACAGAGGGTGCTTTGATGATGCATTATTATTTCTTGATGAAATGAGAGAAAATGATTTGGGCCCTGATAACACGACTTATAATGGGCTAATCCGAGCTTATGGAAAATATAAAATGTATGATGAGTTGGGAATGTGTGTAAAGAAAATGGAATCAAACGGATGTTTGCCTGACCACATGACTTATAATTTGCTTATACGAGAGTTTTCTCGTGCTGGGTTACTTCAACAGATGGAGAGACTGCAGCAATGTTTTCTAAGAGAATGTATTTGCAGCCATCATCTCTGGTATCGATGCTCGATGCATATGCCAACTTTGGCGTTTTAGCTAAGATGGAGAAGGCTTACATAAGGGTTTTAAAAGCAAAAATTCCCCTAAAGGAGGATCTTATCAGAAAATTGGCTGGAATTTATATTGAAAACTACATGTTTTCTAGGCTGGATGATTTGGGACGCCATTATTCTTCAACTGGTGGTAGCGAACTTCCTTGGTGCTTGCGGCTCCTTTCTAATGCTCGTCTTTTGAGTTACAAAGGCATGGACTTGGTTGTCGGGGAGATGGAAGAAGCGGGAGTTCCGTGGAGTGTGACACTTGCAAACACTGTTTTTCTAGCCCTTTTGAAGATGAAAGATTTTAAGCACTTGAGAAGTTTACTCTTGCGGGTGCCAGCCGAAGGATTGAAACCCGATATTGTGACTTTTGGGGTGTTATTAGATGCAAACCGAATTGGTTTTGATGGATTTCCAATTTTAGATGTATGGAGAAGGATAGGGTTCCTCTACAGGGATGTGGAGATGGAAACTGACCCTCTGGTTCTCAGTGCCTTTGGTAAAGGGCATTTCTTGAGAAGTTGCGAAGATATCTACTACTCCTTTGAACTTGAAAACAGAGCAAAGACAAGGTGGACCTACAACACTCTTATCGATTCGGTATCAGAGCTGTGGAAGGCAGACTCTTTTAAAAACCAGTAAATGCAGTGTGAAGTCATAATATCCCTTGAAGGTTGATCTATGAAAATTTTTGTACATAGAGATTTTGTAAAGGACAGAATTATTTTGCTTGAAACAGAGGATTCTGAAAATGCACTTCCAGTATCCGCTTCAGAAAATCGATTAGAAAATGCTTCATTCATGATCAAGATAACCAACCCCGGGGCTACATGTTTAGAGAATCTATGAAAACTGGTATGTCGCTTTTCTGAATATTATTACTCCCTTAATCTTTTACATGTTTAGAGATTCCAAGCACAATTAGCTCCTCTTTGCATGATCAGTTTGGTTAGGAAACCTACCAGATAATATCTCACTGAAGATGTTTTTCTTTTATCTTTTTTGGGAGAACTAGCTACTAAAGTAACTCTTTGCAATACTAGCTGCTTAATGAAAAGTCCTCTATAACTGTGGTGATATAAGAAACTAATCACCAGGTAGTTACTCCACATTATCCCAATTCAACCACTCTTCCTACAAATAAGTACAATTGGAATCCTAACTCTAATTCGACATTCCAAAATTCATTTTTACACCATCCTTAATTGGAAGAAGGATGTTGGTACAGTGAAATTGTGGAACTAATCATGCATGTGTATCATTGAAGCTTGGGCACTTTCGGCTGTCTATCTTAGTCTTGAAAAAATTGGTGGTAACCGCTACGTCAACATCCTAATAGCCACTATTACACTTTTTAGTTGGGTTTAAAAATTGACTGTTCTAAGAAAAATGCACCAAAGTGAACTATGGTGAGCAACAATAAAATTCACAGATCTGAAAAACTATAACAACTCTACAATTTACATATGTTTTTTTGAAAAATGTTACTGCCTTTTCTTCGATAATGTATTTAATAACATAATTATGCACAGCGGTCTCATGGATTATGGATATCAAACTTTATTTTTCATCTAGCAATTGATTTTGATTCTAGCTAAAACGAAAGAGAGAAAAGCACAAAATCGATTTAATATACAGGGCGGGCAATTAGTACCATTCATTGTCAATCCTATTTTTAGATGGCTTATTTATCGCATTGACATGCCCTATAAAATGGTCAAAGGACAGCTGAGTTGCGGACTTTGCATGTGAATTTACCATTATGTCAATGTTTTAAGAGCTGTGCTGAAAAAAATGTCCAATTAGCACATAACTAATTAATACCATATTCGATGAATTCTCAACGCCTATACCCAATCATAAGCTAAATGCATATCCTTTGTGAGTAAAGATAGAATTTCATGGGTAATTTCTAACTCTTGCTAGCAAGGGTAATATTAGCATATCCAGATTGACACGTAAATGGTGTGACTGGGTTTGATGTAAAGGTGCATTCCGATAGTCAAATTGAATATGAATTAGAGAAAGCTCAGGTAGAAAATTAATTTAGTGACCCTTGAAAGCCCAATCTTTAGCTTGACAAATTTGTAATGAAAAATCTGAAGAACATGCCAAATGATGAAAATCATATCGCATGCTGACTAGGACATCTAATATACAAACTAGCTTATTTGGGACTTCTCTACACAAACTAACTTGGGTTGAGTCATTATGAACTCTCTCTCAGGCAGTGGGGAAGCAATGCAGAAGTGATGCGAACATTAAGCATACATAATTTGGGGCAGAAAGGAACGGTCTGTAACATCATAGCTTGAGGTTTTAGAAGATTCTTGGAATCTGTCTATAGCATATCTTATGGTGTTGGGGTGTACTTCCTTCCAATGAACTTTGCCGTTGAGTAGTAATAACTCCTCACTAGACCTCTTAAGGTACCTTCTCTACTCTTCGTCATTCTGAACAATTCCATTTTTTGGAAATAAGTGATATGCTGCAGATCGTTGCTAAACGATTAATTTTGAGACACTAGTGATCTAAAGGCTTTTCTGTGCTTAATCTTTGAGATATGAATTGCTTCTGTTGAATTGCTTGTTAAACTCAGGAAGGTGGTAGCAGAACATTTTCTTGGACATATGAAATTATTAACTATTCTTTCAGACACAGAATAATGTGTTAAAGTTACGGTTGAAAGCCTGATGCTACAATTGTTATGAGGGTAACGTGCAGTCAGCCCATTTTCAAATACTAAGCATGATTACATAGAGTTGCTTTCTAATTAAGGCTTACCATGACGGTTCTCTTGATAAGTTAATATCCATCACAACCAGTCAACAGTTCCATTACTTACATTTAGCTTACTTTCTGATTTGCAGTGCCTTAGCATCTAAGCTGGATGAGATTGAAATGAGACACATTCTGATGTGTGAAACTATACTTGGTAAGCAAGAATTTATTACTCTGGGTTCCGGAGAACCCCTGCCTAGCTCTATTGAATACAACTCTGGGGTCGATAACCTTTTCTAACCAAAGAAGTATGAAGTCTGGTTCCCTCTCGTGAATACCCATGTCCTTTCCAAATACGTCATAAGTTTACAGGCTCCATCAGTAAGGATGGTGAGCTGCAATCTCTATACTTGTCAAATCGATTTGATTGAAATTGAATGATTTTTCATTTAAAAAACTTCTATATAATAAACCTTTTTTTGCCAATAGATTTCACCACTTGTTTGAGACATTTGTTTATCTTGCATATCCTCCCTTGTGCAGGTATACCAGTTATATTACCTGTGGGACAGTGGCCACCAGGAATAAGTCTTCATGATTTATTAACTGCTCTGTCGAATTTACTACATAACTGGCAAGTGGAACTAATACCAAGTTTCGTGAAGATTCTTACGTAAGTATCTTTAAGGTATGATGGTTTTTCACTGGTTACTCATGTCTCATGCTTTATGATAGGTTGAAACATATTATTTTCTATAAAGGCATAAGTGCACCAGAAATCCTAAAACTTGTTGTGAAAGTGCAATTGAATCCTAAAACTTTTAAAAAGTGCAATCAAGTCCTAAAACTTGTCAAATTGGTGCAATTTAAAGTCTTTCCGTTAACTTCATCTAATTTGTCTAACGGAAAATGTTGACGTGGCTCTTATGTTACTTTCTTAAGATATATGGTGCCGATGTGGCACCCACTAACCACCACATTAGCATTTTCTGTTAGCCAAATTGAACTAAGTTAACTAAGGAACTTGATTGCACCAATTTGACAAGTTTTAAGACTTAATTGCAACTTTTGAAAGTTTTAGAACTCAATTGCACTTTCATGACAAGTTTTAGGGCTTCCGGTGCACTTATCCCTTCTATAAATTTAATTGTTGCTTGAATTTTTATTTGTCTTACCTTCAGTAAGAAATAAGATAGTGCTGATGTTTTGAAAGAGACAGCATGTTCAAATCTATGGTTAAAATGCAAGTGATTATGTAATTGTGAAAAAGGTCTGGATAAAATATCAGTTGCTGTTTGGCCTTTATATCCTAAATAGTTTTATAACCTCTGGTGGGAATACACAATGATTTAGTCTTCGACGTAATTAAGGGAGATTTCCCATGATCATGTAGACAATTATACAGTCACTCATTTAGTTAAATGCCATCTGTTAGACATTAAAGTTAACCATTCACACAATTACTCAATTTGCGATGTAAATCACAAAAGTTCCTTTGATGAATTCAACAAAACTGTAAGAAATTGTCCCATCTCTTTGTCACCAATCAATTTTCCATCTTGAACCTCTTCAAACAGGACATAATTATAGTATAAGTTCCTAATTTCATGTACCTCTTTATCACCATATAGTCTATAGACTTTTGGGCATTAACTTGTCGAACTTTGGATGTTTCTTTACATCTGTTGAGTTGCTTATTCACTCGAATGTTTCTCTCATGAGCTCAGCAAAGGAGGATCACTAGAGCAGAGTTTGTTGACACACCAAGGAGCATTGCCAGGGACTCGTGGCTTAGGGCCATGACCATTACACTTAGGTAATATTAGAACTCGTTTGCCATCATATCCAATAGTTCTATCTTTTGACAAATGGTTCGATCAAATATAGCGAACGCTCTTCAACTTTGTTTCCTGTATCATCGAATGTTCACTCCAATGAGTCTTTTCTTATCGTTTTCTTCTAGGGATTCTGTTAACTAGTGCACCTGCCAAAGTTGTGGAGAAAAAGCCGGTAAGTGAAGAAGATGCAAAGCAATTTGTAGCTATGACTAAAACAAAATGTGATAGATCAACTGAGAAAGATGCCCGTGCAGATTTCCTTATTGGACTTATTTCGATCCTCAGTGAAACATAAAAATGCACTTTTGAAGGTGTTTGAATGAGGTGCATGTTTCTGAAACCGTTGATGACAGCAAATTAGAGGAATTTGTGGGGTCTATCTTATTAAAAGACCAAAATTGCCTTTTTCAGACGAGGGTCGCGACAGTTATGCATCGGCTTTGTGTACTGAATCTGATACACGGCGTCTCGAGTTTGGTTTGGTGGGTCAGTTAAGCTAGGTCAAAAGAGGCGGATTACTGGTAGTTGGATTTTTTTGTTAAGCTTGCTGCAAAGCGCCTCATTCGTTATTGGCAATCAAGTGAATTTCCTTGGTGTGCTGGACTTAGAAAGACTATCTTGTGTATCTTTTGTTATGTAATGAATGCATTTTATCTCTTTGTTAAAAAGAAAAGAAAACTTTGTAAATTGTCTGTACTTTCCCTCCACAGTACTGTTAACTTGTAGACTTGAGACAACCCTACTTTTAGAAAGGCATTTTCCAAATAAATAATGATAATTTACTAAGAGTTGATCATTTAAAAACAATCAAAATGTCGTCAAAGTATATTGAATAAGAGTGGATAACATAAAATTAGTCGGTAACTTAATAGGAACGAAGATCGGTACATCATTTAAATTAAGATTGATAATTTAATATAAAAGATGGTAAATTGACAAATTTGATAGATTGCGCAAATAAATGTTGTTAAGCTATTATAAAGGTTGTTAACTTTACGAAAAACCAAACAAACGTTGCCGTGGAAGTTAAATAAGCAGTGGTCAATGTGATAGTCATAATTATAAATGGAGAAAAATTTGAAATCATTCAAATTATTATTGATACTTTAATATAAGAATTGTCAAATTTGAAAGGTTGATAGACTATGCAAATAGAAGTTAGTACACTGTTATAAATGTTGGTAATTTAGAGACAATCAAATACATTTTAAAATTTAGTAAAAGGTTCGTTAAATTACCAACAATTTATCGAAAGAAATTTCGTGGTTACTTTTTTGAATAACGAAATAATTGAAAACGACCAACTTCTTCAGAAGTTCATGTAGACAGACACCTAACTTTTTTTTTGGTCGAAAGACACCTAACTTGATACCTAGGGTTTGACCCTAATTGATTGAGAAGATAACTTCATCAAAAAGTTCAATTAATAAGAACAATTGTGTTAGACCAAAAAAACAATTACAATTGTGTTGTGCCTATCAATAGCTTTTTAGTTTTCCTTCATGTTTTGGGCCACTTTTTCAAGTTCATGCCATCTTTTTTTTCTTATGTCAATATTTTAATAAATTAGTAAGTTCAGTTGAATAATTGAATTTTTTTTACTTTGGAACGAAAAAAATATCAAGCACTTTTTGTATTATTTTATCATGGGGTTAATACTACGAAAAACTTCAAATTGGTACACCTTTAACAAATTTATCAAAAACTAATTTTTGGATAATCAAAATTCCCAAATCGGTACACTCGACATATTTTACCATGAAATTGCTGAGTTGGATGACACGTGGTAATAACTCAATTGACATGGCAAGTTCACTTGGAAATCCAAATCAGTTTGGAATAAATTTGTCGTAGGTGTGCCAATTTAGAGTTTTTGGTGACCCAAAAATTAGTTTGGGATAAATTTATCATAGATGTACCGGTTTAGGGTTTTCAGTGACCTGAAAATTAATTTGGTATAATTTATCACATGCATACTCTTTTTGGGTATTCCGTGATATTAACTCTTTATCATAAATATTTGGGAAAATTCCAACTAAGGACCCCAAGTGGGGTCAAATTCTCAAATAAGGACCCAAAGTGAACATTGTGTCAAATAAGGACCTGAAGTGCACAATCAGTCTCAAATAAGGACCCGAAGTGCTCAAAAAGTCTCAAATAAGGACATGGGTCCCCGGCCGGCCAAAATACCAGCCGGCGGCGAGAAAGTTACTGTTCCGGCACCGGAACAGTACTTTTTCATTTTTTTATTATTTTTTTCTGTTTTTTTCTTTTCCTTTTCCTTTTCTTTTTTTTTTCTTCTCTTCCTCCGCCGGCCATAGCCGGGGCCGGCGGAGGTCGCCGGCCTCAGGCGAGGCCGCCCTCGCCGGCGTCGGGCGAGGGCCGCCCAGCCTTCTGGGGTGGGCGCGGCCGGCGGGGCCGAGCCCTCGCCGGATCTGGCGAGGGCTCGGCCCCACGCCGGCGTCAGCGAGGTCGCCATCACCGGCGTCCGGGCGGGCCGGCTCGCCGGTTGCGGGCGAGGTCGAGCCTCGCCGGATCTCGACGAGGGCTCGGCCCCGCCGGCGTCGGGCGAGGTCGCCCTCGCCGGCGTGGGCGAGCCGGCCGCCAGCGAGGTCGAGCCTCGCCCGATCCGGGCGAGGCTCGGCCCCGCCGGCGCCGGCGAGGTCGGCCTCGCCGTGTGGGGCGAGGCCGGCCTCGCCGAGATCTGGCGAGGCTCGACCTCGCCCGCAACCGGGCGAGGCCGGCCTCGCCAGCCCAGCGAGGCCGGCCTCGCCCGACGCCGGCGAGGGCGGCCTCGCCGACGCCGGCGAGGGCGGCCTCGCCCGACGCCGGCGAGGCGGCCTCGCCGACGCCGGCGAGGCGGCCTCGCCCGACAGCCGGCGAGGCGGCGGCCTCGCCCGACGCCGGCGAGGGCGGCCTCGCCTAAGGCCGGCGACCTCCACCGGCCCCGTCTATGGCCGGCGGAGGAAGAGAAGAAAAAAAAAAAAGAAAAGGAAAAGGAAAAGAAAAAACAGAAAAAAGTAATAACAAAATGAAAAAGTTACTGTTCCGGTGCCGGAACAGTAACTTCCTCGCCGGCCGGCGGGTATTTTGGCCGGCCGGGGACCCAGGTCCTTATTTAAGACTTTTCGGGCACTTCGGGTCCTTATTTGAGACTGATTGTGCACTTCAGGTGCTTATTTGACACAATGTTCACTTTGGGTCCTTATTTGAGAATTTGACCATACTTGGGGTCCTTAATTGAAATTTTCCCTAAATATTTTGGTCAAGGTCGAGCCATTCTAAATTCTGGTCCCACTTGAAGCATTTATAAAACCCACCCCATAAACCCAAGACCATTTCCGAGCTTATCAATTTTGAGTCCATTCAGATTTTCGAACTTTACAATTTTTAATTTGCATACCTAGTCGGGAACCACGGTGTCAAGGGTTTCAACTCCTCCTTGCCCACAACAAGCCCAAAAGGGGAAGGACCTTTCCCTATGGCACATGTTTTTGAAACCGTTGATGACAGCAAATTAGAGGAATTCATGGGGTCTATCTTGTTAAAAGACCAAAATCGCCTTTGCAGACGAGGGTCGTGACAGTTATGCATCGGCTTTGTGTACTAAATTTGATACACGGCGTCTCGAGTTTGGTTTGGTGGGTCAGTTAAGCTAGGTCAATAGAGGTAGATTACCGGAAGTTAAATAAGCATCGGTTAATGCGATAGTCGGAATCATAATTGGAGAAAAAATTGAAATCATTCAAATTATTATTGATACTTTAATATAAGAATTGTCAAATTTGAAAGGTTGATAGACTATGCAAATAGAAGTTAGTACACTGTTATAAAAGTTGGTAATTTAGAGACACTCAAATACATTTTAAAATTTAGTAAAAGGTTCGTTAAATTACCAACAAATTATCGAAATAAATTTCTTGGTTGCTTTTTTTAGTAACGAAATAATTGAAACCGACCAACTTCTTCAGAAGTTCATGTAGACAGACACCTACCTTGATACCTAGGGTTTGACCCAAATTGATAGAGAAGATAACTTCATCAAAAAGTTTAATCAAGTACAAGGTGTTGTGCCTATCAAGAGCTTTTTAGTTTTCCTTCATATTTCGGGCCACCTTTTCAAGTTCATGCCATCTTTTTTCTTATGTCAATATTTTAATAAATTAGTAAGTTCAGTTGAATAATTAAGTATTTTCTACTTTAGAACGAAAAAAAATATCATACACTTTCTGTATTATTTTATGAAAGGGTTAATATCATGAAAAACTCCAAATTGATACACCTGTAATAAATTTACCCAAAACTAATTTTTGGATCACCAAAAACCTTAAATTGGAACACTCGTAACATATTTACCTTTTGGAAAAATTCCAAATAATGGTCCGAAGTGCTCTTATTTTCTTAAATAAGGGTATGAAGTGGACATTGTGTCAAATAAAGATCTGAAATGCCCTTATTTTCTCAAACAAAGGTTTAAATTGAATCTTGTCTCAAATAAAGATCAAAAGTTGCCATTTTAGTTTCAATAAATGGTCTAACCTCACTAGAGTCAAGAGCATTTTCGTCTTTTAATTTTTGGCATTTTTTTCCTTTCTTTTTTACCTTTTGTGTTTTTTTTCCAAAAAAAAAATCTTAAAAAAAGCTAAATTTAAAAAAAAAAAAAAAAAAAAACAAGGGGAGGGTTGCCAACCCTCCTCGCCTGTGGCCGTTGCCCCCCTCTCCAAGTTCTAGCTAGGGTCGCTGGCCATTACCGCGCGCCCCACCGGTGATGAGGCAGCGGCCACAGGCGAGGAGGGCTGGCAAGGCTGGCAACCAGGGCTCCCCTCTTGTTTTTTTCTTTTATTTAAAAAAAAACTTTTTTCAAATTTTAATATAATTTAATTAGAATTTATGTTAAAAAAATTTTTGGACGAAATGCCCTTGACCCGCCTGAAATTTGGTTCACCGACGACTTGGTGGGATGAAACCTTTATTTGAAACTGTTACAACCACTTCAAGCCCTTATTTGAAAAAGTTATGGCACTTGAGGCTCTTATTTAACACAAAATCCACTTCAGACACTTATTTAAGAAAATGAAGGCACTCTAGACCCTTATTTGAAATTTTCCCTTACTTTTTTGTTAGTTTCTGTCAAATTTTACTGTGAAATTGCTAAGCTGGATGACAAGTGATAGTAACCCAATTAACATGGCAAGTTCACGTAGAATCCAAATCAGTTTGGATAAATTTGTCAGGCTAATTCCAAAAAAATGCACAAACTTTTGGTCGAGTGACAATTCTGGCTCCAACATTTTTTTGTCTCGTAGAAAAGCACAAACTTTAGGTCGATCGACAATTCTGGCCCCAATTTTTTTTTGTCACATAAAAAATTATCAACTTTCACTCCTATCCCAAATCTGGTCCGCCATTGACTTTCTGTCTGAAGTCACCCTTGTTTGAGAAAAAAGATTATGGTCGTGAGCTTGGCGAATCTCGTCTATGCCGTCTATCGATGGATAATGATCTACAACTTCAAATTATGACAAAACGACGAAGTCTGATAAGAGAGATTCAATCTGGAGATCTTTTTGACCTGCCTGTGAAGTGAGGTAGATGAACAATTTCACCGTTATTCTTCAAGCTACCGCTCAAAGAAGAAGACAATGAATAGTGCTTTAAATCCAATTAGCAAGCCATGTGGATTTATTGCTGATGTGGAATAGTTAAGTTGGTAATCAATGGTTCTAAGTCAAGTGAGGCCAGATTTGGGATTTAAGTGAAAGTTGGTGATTTTTTACGAGACAAAAAAAAATTGGGGCCAGAATTGTCACTCAACCTAAAGTTGGTGTTTTTTTTTTTTGGAATTAGGCCTAAATTTGTTGTAGATGTACCGGTTTAGGGTTTTTGATGATCAAAAAATTAGTTTTGGATAAATTTATCGTAGATGTACCGGTTTACGATTTTTGGTAACCTGAAAATTAATTTGGTATAATTTATCACTTGCGCACTCGTTTTGGGTTTCCCGTGGTATTGATCATAAATATTTTGGGCAAGGTCGAGCCATTCAAAATTCTTGTCCCACTTGAAGCATTTATAAAATCCACCCCCATAAACCCAACACCATTTTCGAGCTTATGAATTTTGAGTCTGTTCACATTTTCAAGCTTTACAATTTTTAATTTGCATCCCTAGTCAGGAACCACGGTGTCAAGGGCTTCAATTCCTCCTCACCCATAACAGGCCCCGAAAAGAGGAAGGACCATTCCCTATGGGAGTTGGAAAATAATGATCCGTACAGCGGACCCAAGATTGTAAAACCTGGGTGTGGGTCTTTAAATGTATCGAGCATGTGTATGGTTATGTCATATTGGTGTGGAGCGGTCAAACCCATGTAAAAGACCCACTGGGCACACGGCCTAGTGGCAAGGTAATTAGACAAGGCGAGGGATGATCAATGTTGAGGGTAAGATTCGATTCCTGTGTTCTGCAAAGAGGCAAAGCTTGATAGGAATGAGAGGAAAGTTAGAGCGAGACAAAATATTTGCCTAAAAGACGAATCCGTTTATACCAAATCCAATCGGTTTAATTTATGTACCGTGCAAGCGGATCGAGTCGAGAATCGCCGGCCTAATCGAGATTGGGATCCTTCCCAGATCAACCCATAAGTGGGACAAGATAAAACGTGATCTAACCTAACCTTAATTGAAATTGAACCACGGCCTCCCCCACACGCCAACCTTCCCCTCGTCCGCCGTACTTTCCGCACGCGCACGCGTCGTCGCGCTGTAGCCCGAGCCGCAATCCGCTGCGCCCCGCCCCACCGTAGGGCCGCGCCCGGGCCACCGTCGGAGCGACCCCCACCGCCAGAACGTTCCGGGGGCCCCACGTGTCGAGCATCCGGCGCGGGCTCCAGGGCCCACCGCGCGGGGCGCGCAACAGGGGATCATAAGCTCCCCGGAGAGAGAAGGCTCGACATTTAACGCGTGTTAATAGGGGGGCGGGGGGGGGGGGGGATGAGACGCTTTTTGGGAGAGAGAGAGAGAGAGAGAGAGGATTCTTCAAATTCCCCGATTTTCGTCCTTTGTATAAATACGCGCAGGAGAGAGAGAGAGGGAGACAGGTTTGTCCCCTCTCTCTCCCTCTCTCTCTCTCTTTTTCCCGAGAAAATTCCGAAGCTCCTCCTCGATCGACGGAATCCTCCCCCCTCCCCACCCCCACCGGCCGTGATCGGCGAACGGAGGAGAGAGCGCGCCCGCCGCCGCCGCCGCAGCCGCAGCCGCAGCCGTAGCCGCAGCCGCAGCCGCCGCCGCCGCTGCCGCAAATGCTGTCGCTGCAGAGCGATCCCCGGCTGCTGCAGCAGCAGCAGCCGGAGCAGCTCCAATTGGCCTCGTTCGGCAATGACGCCCTGCCTCCTCTCAAGCCCGATGCCGTTTCTTCCTCCCTGTCGAGCCTCAGGATCTCGCAGCCCCTGGACCCCCGCGAAGGTTCTTTTCTTCGATTCGCCTCTGTTTCGCGTCGCTTTCGGCGAGTTTTAGGGTTTGGGATCGGGGATTTTGCGCTCGATTGTACGGAGCTTCGTCGTTGCTGGTTGTCCTGAAGTCTTGTTTTTTTTTTTTTCCGGAAAGGTTTTTTTATTCTCCCCTCCTCCATGCAATGGCATGTCAGTCGGCTTGAATCGTCACGGGTGCGCCGATGTTTTGACGATTTTTTGGCGGCGATCACGCTTTGGCTTGTTCGATCTTTCGATTGCCGCTAGTTTTCTTCGGTTCCTGGATTTTAGGTAAAACCTACTTGTCGCGATTACTTGATGATCGCAAGGAAGAATCGGAGGTCGGAATGCGGTGCCGATTTCTTCGTCCTTCTTTTTGAATCGTTTTAAATCCATATTCTGGTTATAAATTTGAGGTTAGCTCGCGCTAAGTCCATCATTACCTTTTATGATGAGATCTCGTCATCGAGGAAATCGGGGAAGCTACTCAATTGTGCTCAAAGGCTTCATAAGTTAGAATATGGATCTGCAAGATTGACTCGGATTGTAAGGAGCTGATTCGGTTGGGTTTCGGTGATTATGTCACTATGGAGATGTATGAGGTCGGCGGTTGCTTGTATATGTGGGACTTTGGAACGAGAGTTGTATATCAAGTGCTATGCATTATCTTTCTGAAATCTGTTTCTCTGGCGGTCTTGAAAAATATAGAAGGAGAAATCTAACAAAATATCCAGTCATCTGACTCGATTTGTTTATTAATAAAAAAAAAAAAGAGGTGAGGTGGAGATTCGCTGCTTGCGAAATCAATTTGTGCAAAGTATGTTACATGTTTGAGTTAATATATGTTTCCAGTGGTAGTGTTACCACTTGTGGCTAAAGACACTTACTACTGATCTTTTTTGGTGGTAGAGAAGATAAGCTGCACTATTGTACGAAAATTGTGAACGAAGGTTTGCGATGGTTGTTTATAGTTTCTGCTTAGCTAGTGTCTTGAGTAGCGATGCATGCAAATGCCTGGCATAAAATGATAAGTTTGAGGGCTTTCAATTCATGTCCTTTATCCGTTTCTCTTATTTTTTTGCTCAGGAGGTTGAAAAAGGAAGCTTCATGTAAAACTACGTTTTCTGGGTTCTAATATGGTAATTGAACCTCGGAATTTCTATTAATCTTGCCAAATGGGGGCACTGTACTGAGGCCAAACTTCCAAAGAAAGCACCTTAACATATTTTGACTTTGTAGTAGTGAGATTGTAGTTTTTTCATCAAGGTGTGTTTGGTTTTGGTGTTCATATGATGTTTTGTCTAATGGCTTTGTCTTATGTTCTATGAATGTCCCTGCATTTTGTGCGAATTGTTTCTGAGCTTCCCTGCGGCTCTTTTGAGGATTGAGTTAACATTTTGAATTGCATCATTTATTTGTAGCCAATGAAGACATTCTGATAGCCCTTGCCCATCAGAAATATAAAGCTGGAAGCTATAAGCAGGCACTAGAGCACAGCCTTGCTGTTTATGAGAGAAACCCCCAACGGACTGATAACCTTCTTCTGCTCGGTGCAATATATTATCAGGTTGTTTCGGTGGTTCCATGTTTGTGTCGATTCAATGATGAGATGGCATTAGGTCTATGGATCTGATTCGGTGACTTGATTTGAATGCTGTAGCTGCATGATTTAGATATGTGCATAGCCAAGAATGAGGAAGCACTTCGAATTGATCCACATTTTGCTGAGTGCTATGGAAATATGGCAAATGCGTGGAAGGTAATGGAACAAAAACTTCAACGGCTAGGGTACAGCTTTTAAGCTGGTTAATTTATGTGGGTCGAGTGTGATGATTTTTCCTCCATTCTTTCTTCCTCAGGAGAAGGGAAATATTGATGCAGCGATTCGTTACTACTTAATTGCTATCGAGGTGTGTATTCTGCTTGAAAGATTTCTTCTGGCTGATGGAGTTCTTTTTTTTCACACATAAGAAAACTTTTTCTGTTTTGATGTTCTTCCTCCCATATTGAGCTTGAGATGTAAACTTGACTTGGATGTCCAGAAACAATGATAGATGGTTAGAATACTTAGTTACTTCCCAATTTTTTTGGACAATTTTTTCATTGTAAAGATATGGCCAAGTGGCATGTGAGATCTATTGTCACTTACCGTTATGGAGCGTCTAACCTTTGGTTTGGCAACTGAGCTAATTAATGCTATAGATTTTAACAATTGTAGAAGTATGACCAGGGGGCCTGCTTCTTTTTAAGGCGTTCTATGTTTCATAATTTGTCTCGATGAGCGATTCATATTACGGGCCGTCGGATTAATGATCTAATCTTAATTTTTGAAATGACATTTGCAGCTTCGACCCAATTTCGCTGATGCTTGGTCAAATTTAGGGAGTGCATACATGCGAAAAGGAAGATATACTGAGGCTGGACAGTGTTGTCGGCAGGCTTTGGCACTTAATCCACGCTTGGTATTATTACACCCATATTTGAGAAGCATATATTTTAATTTCTTGATGTTTCTAATTTTTTGTTTGCCTGTTGGTGCAGGTTGATGCTCAAAGTAATCTCGGAAATTTAATGAAAGCTCAGGGTTTGGTGCAAGAGGTGACACGACTTACGACTTTAATTGCTTCTGTGATTTGCCTGTTCATGTGTTTTCTGATTGTATTTTATTTGTCCATTCTTTCAATGGAGATTGGAATGAGGTTGGGACACCAATGCTTCTCAGAATTGGTCTATTTCGTTTCCTAGACTGCTTTTAACACATGATTTTTCTTTTTTGTTGCATGGAATGGTTTTCTCATTGCTGTAGGAAACTGTACTAATGTGAAATCTAGGTTAATAATTTATTTTTAGTGGGGGGAAATAGTTCAGTTGTTTCTTTTACTCAGTGTTTCTTGGGGGTAGATATTGCACATTTAATTCTCGCTGAACGGTCGAGGAGGCGTATTGGTTATTAATCTTTTGTGCAGTTTAAGGCATACAACCAAATTTTGGAATAGCATGGTGAAATAGGAAAATATTTTCTTTATATGCTATATTCAGTTGTTTCAGAGTAGTTCAGGAAGCACGTGTTGGTAATTGAATCGCAACTTCTGCATTTTCTGAGTATTTGTTCACTTTTTAGGCATTCAACTGTTACCTTGAGGCCATCCGTATACAACCAAATTTTGCAATCGCATGGTCAAATCTTGCTGGCCTTTTCATGGAGGCAGGGGATCTTAATAAGGCACTTCAGTATTATAAGGTTAGTAATCTGGTTGAATTTATTTCTCTTCATCTAAATTTCATGCATTTTTGCATGAGAGTCTCCTTGAGCGTGCATATGTATTTGTCAGGTGATGGCCTCTAGTTAGATTTATTGTTTGGTCAGTAACCAAGATATGATCCAGTTGACCGGCTATGTACAAAAGTGACTTTCTAGAATGTTCTTGATGTTCGCTTCTCATTGCGGTCAGAAGCATTCTCATTGTGGTTCTTTTCTTTAACTGATTTGAAATCATAAACTTTATTTACAGGAAGCGGTGAAACTCAGACCAACATTTTCTGATGCCTACCTGAGCCTTGGAAACGTCTATAAGGTAAGCTATCAATATTGTGCTAATGAGGTGGGGTAGCTGCAAAAGCCAGGACGAGTGTCTGGTGAAAAACAAGATCTTTCTTTTGCCTTTTCCAGGCCTTGGGAATGCCTCAAGAGGCTATTATATGCTATCAGCGTGCTCTGCAGTCTCGACCAGATTATGCTATGGCATATGGTGAGTTTTTGCTTTGCTTATTTCCTTCATGTTTGTGTAAAAACTGGTGGAAAATATGGAAGTAAGACATATTGCTGAATTAGACTCTTCAAGAGTGACTTCTAGTGTTAACACTCGAGTCAAAAAGGTCAACTAGTCGGGATACTGTAAAGCACATAAACTACGCTATTAATGTAGATATATCTTTTTGATGGTAAAACAGTCTCATGATGTCAGTGGTTTCATCCTAGAAATGTTTCCATGTGTTAATGAGCTATTCATGGAACTGGATCAGATACGTACACATTTGAAACCATATTCATTGAATTGAATGGAACTTATTGATCTGTCAAAGTTGATGGCGCAGGTAACTTGGCCAGTATACATTATGAACAAGGTCAACTTGATTTGGCCATTCTCAATTATAAGCGAGCAATTGCTTTTGACTCGGGCTTCTTGGAGGCATACAATAATTTGGTTTGCCATCTCTTCTCCATGTCACTTTCAGATATGTAGAGTTTATACTTGTAGTTACCCTTTTATTCAATTGATGTTTCTTTTTGCACAATTAGGGTAATGCTTTAAAAGATTCTGGAAAGGTTGATGAAGCCATTAATTGCTATCGAGTAAGTTTTTATGAGAGTTTTTTCCATCGGTTCCGTAGTTTTGTATGTTTAACCATATCTGATCTCTTTATCCTTCTCTGTGAAGCACTGTCTTTCTTTACAACCTCACCATCCTCAAGCACTGACAAATCTGGGGAATATATACATGGAATGGTACTTCCATCCCATTGATCATTTCTACACTTGCACTTGTTTTTACCTATTATCAACGTAATAGTTGGAACCTGCTCTCATTTAGAAGTTGATTTTGTAGGAACATGTTAAATGTTGCTGCGTCCTTTTATAAGGCTACCCTTACTGTGACAATGGGACTTTCTGCTCCTTTTAACAACTTGGCAATAATATATAAGCAGCAGGTCTCTCTCTCTCTCTCTCTCGCTCTCTCGCATGCACGCACTTACATCTAGGTCCAGGATATGATCATTCTTCAAAGCTTTAACGGAAAGAGGTCTAATTTGTTGCTGTTTTTTATTTATTCTTTTATTGTGCTCCATCACAGGGTAACTATGCTGATGCAATCACATGCTACAATGAAGTTCTGAGAATTGATCCTATGGCAGCTGATGGGCTTGTCAACCGAGGTAACACATACAAGGAGATTGGAAGGGTTAGTGAAGCCATTCAAGACTATATTCGTGCAATTAACATCAGACCCACAATGGCTGAGGCTCATGCAAATCTGGCATCAGCTTATAAGGACAGGTTTAGTAGTTTGCTTACTTACGCTGTCATTGAGACGTTTCTACAGCTATTTAAAGATTCTTATGGATTTTCTGGGAATCAGTGGACATGTTGAACCAGCTATAAAAAGTTACAAGCAAGCACTAGCTCTTCGTCCTGATTTTCCAGAAGCAACTTGCAACCTTCTTCATACATTGCAGGTATTTAAGAACTGTACTCTCCTCCCATTTTTGCCCCTTGTTTTACACGTAGCGGGTGAGGCCAAAGTGAGACCAAAATCTACACCTGGGGAAGAGTTGCACTTGCACCTCTCAACGGGGAAACTTTCATCTTTTTAATTGTGAATTGTTTAATTTTATCCTTCCAATTTCTGACAAATAGGACTACTAAAAGATAAATTGGGGTTAATGTGATGGTCTGTAAGATGATTGAAGTGTTATAATCTCTTTTGCAACTGGACGATCATGTGTGATCTCTTCGATTTGATAATCCATGGCTGAACTATCATAACTTCTCTAGGAATTAGGTATCCTACAGTAATGAAAGATCATGTGCTACTGTTCAAGTCTATGAGATTTGGCCAGGAGGTTATTTATTCAGTCATTGTGATTGGTTTTGCGTGCTTTCACGTCATTGATAATTGCCTGAGGAATGCAGTTTGGGTTTTAAATATTCTCCGCAAGATTGTATTGTGAGATATTTAATGAAAATTCAATCTGAGTGCAATCTGAGGAGTAGACACGTCATACTGAGATATTGTGGAGATGGTATGTAAGCAGGGACATTCTGAGTTCTTAAGGAAGCCCAATTCTATCTTTTGTTAGAAATCTGTATGGTTCATGAACTTAGCTTTGAATGTCAATTTATCTTTAAGGATTGTCCAGTTGAGTTCGAAAGTACAGGCAACCTTATGCATTTAATAGTCGTTGTTTCATGTTAATTGCTTGTGTCTTTATTTTGTTGATTTGACCATTTTTTTTAGTGCGTGTGCGACTGGGAAGATCGTGAGAAAAAGTTCTCTGAAGTGGAAGGAATACTCAGGAGACAGATTAAGGTAAATTGTCATTTGTCATGAGTAAATATATCTATATTGCCTCTGTAAAGAATACATGCATCTAAGTTTATAATTGTGCCCTTATATTACTTTCAGATGTCAGTGATTCCGAGTGTACAGCCATTTCATGCGATAGCCTATCCCATTGATCCGTTACTTGCACTTGAAATCAGGTGAGTTATGCTGCCTTTTTGTTGAAGTGAATAACAAAGTGCTGTGGCAGTTGTTTTCATGATTCTCTTTTTTTGTAGTCGCAAGTACGCTGCGTACAGTGCTCTTGTTGCATCCCGTTACTCGCTTGCTCCTTTCAATTATCCTGCACAATATCCTGTCAAGAGTGATGGTGGGACTGGACGTCTAAGGGTTGGGTAAGGCCCCCCGCTTCCCCCCGCCCCCCATTTTAGTCTATTCGGCTCATGTGCACATTGCCTTAATTGATCATTCTTTCCATGTGGTTGTCACTGACACATCTCATCCTTGATTTTCAGGTATGTGAGCAGTGATTTTGGCAACCATCCCTTGTCTCACCTCATGGGCTCGGTCTTTGGCATGCATGACAGAGAAAACATTGAGGTTTGTTGGATGTGAAACTCTAGGCTTGGTTTCAAATAGCTATGTGAATCTAATAATCGATTATATTGCAGGTCTTCTGCTATGCGTTGAGTGCCAATGATGGAACTGAATGGAGACTTCGCACGCAGTCAGAAGCAGAGCACTTCATTGATGTCTCTTCCATGACTTCTGACATGATTGCAAGGCTAATTAACGACCATAAAATTCAGATTCTTGTCAATTTAAATGGCTACACAAAGGTATGGTGCTTGTGTGTGTGATTTGCTGATTTAGTGTCAGTATTTCAGCATGTCATATGTAGTTGAGACCCATTTTTATAGGTATCGCCATAAACATCTAACAAGCTGTATAATTTGGACCTTGTCAATATCAAATTAAATATTAGATGCAAGGGCTGCTTTTTATCTGACAAATCCTAGTTTTTGTACAATCTGTGCATGATTTTAGTTTTAACCCTGCAGTAATTGATATTTCTTCCCTGTCAGTCATAATAAACCCCTTCTTTTTTCCATTGATTATGCAGGGGGCAAGAAATGAAATATTTGCTATGCAACCTGCTCCTGTACAAATATCGTACATGGGATTTCCTGGAACAACAGGGGCATCTTATATACATTATTTGGTCACGGATGAGGTTGACAATTTCATTCATATTTTAGTATTCTAGTCTCAGTCACCTGAAGATACGACTTGTTATTTGACTTTCAAAATCTTCAATTGCAGTTTGTGTCACCTTTTCGTTATTCACACATCTACTCTGAGAAGCTTGTCCATCTTCCTCATTGTTACTTCGTTAATGATTATAAGCAGGTCAGTCATCTTTACTTTGTTTCATTCTTCTTTTGGTGAACTATTGGTGGAGTGTGTTTTAACAGCTCCCTCTTATGACAATCATTATCAGAAAAACCGAGAAGTACTGGACCCCAGTTGCCATCCAAAAAGATCAGATTATGGATTACCTGAAGACAAATTCATATTTGCTTGTTTCAATCAGCTTTACAAGATGGATCCTGATATTGTCAACACTTGGTAATACCACATTGTCTGGTTATCATTTTTTCGGCAGTTCATCCTTTGGAGATGTTTTAACTTGTTTGATCTCTCTTTATCATCGCAATAGGTGCAATATTCTCAAGCGTGTACCCAATAGTGCACTTTGGCTCCTCCGATTCCCTGCGGCAGGCGAAACCAGACTTCGTGCATGTGTGTTTTTCTCCTAACATTGTGCTCTTTGAAAATATCTGTGCATGTTATCATGTTTGATTGATGCTTTCTTGGTAGTTGAATTTGGCTACTGGGTGAATATCAATTTTAAGAGCTCTTTTCTCATGGCAGATGCTACTCAAAGGGGCGTGCAACCAGATCAAATTATTTTCACAGATGTTGCCATGAAAAATGAGCATATAAAGCGCAGCGCTTTAGCAGATCTGTTCCTTGACACGTGAGATATCTTTTATTAGCTTCTTCCCATTCTCACCAAGAAAACAATGAAATGTAGTTTCCATCATCGGTATGCCAAAGATAGAGGGAATTTATTGTGCATTTTGCTATCATATGGGCAGACCTTTATGTAATGCTCACACAACGGGCACTGATGTTCTATGGGCTGGTCTTCCGATGGTGACGCTTCCCCTTGAGAAAATGGCAACAAGAGTTGCAGGTTCATTATGTCTGGCTACTGGAGTTGGGGAGGAGATGATTGTTAATAGGTACTCTCTCTCTCTCTCTCTCTCTCTCTCTCTCTCTCTGCACACACGTGTTTGGTAGGAAAGACTTATTTCCATGAATAGGAAAAGGTCGTATGTCTATGGTAGTCTTGCCGTTACTACTGTATTTGGTTTAGTTGGCATACTTGCTCTCTTGTACGCGCCATTGAATAGAGTATTAGGTAGTTCGACTTTTGACCGTGTCCATGCATTAAATCTTTCAAGTCTTCGTGTGTGTGTGCGCACACTGCATTTACAACCTCTAGTTAGGGTGAAATGGTCGTGTAAATTCTTGGTTCACTAGCGTTAAGTGTCACGTTCCCCTATTCCTTTCTCGCTGCTGATGTGTTTCTATTTTTTTTCTTGGGAAAAAATGATCCAATGCGACAGTCTGAAGGAATATGAAGAGAAAGCGGTTTCACTGGCATTGAACCGACCGAAGCTTGAGGATCTTAAAAGTAGACTCAAGGCAGCTCGTCTGACTTGCCCTCTGTTCGACACAACGCGATGGGTGAGCTCAATTTCTTCTATCTCTTCATTTTCGTGTGCATCTTCCCAGTATGGCGCTAGTCCATCATCTAGAAATCGACGAATAGTTTCGCCGTTTTCTATTTCTGGTTTCATTGCATCCGGCATGTCGGAAGCTTCAGAATTTCGAATGGACCCTTTTCTGGGTCAATTGATTGATCTAAGTTAAACATGGAATTCCAGGTGAGAAACCTCGAGCGGGCATACTTCAAGATGTGGAATCTCTACTGCTCAGGCCAGCATCCGCAGCCCTTCAAAGTAACCGAGATCGATTCGGAGTTCCCATACAATAGGTAGGAATAACAGGGGTATAGAGAGAGAGAGCCAGACGGGAATGTACATAAAAAAAAAGGCGAAAGGGTTCAGTGGTAACATTCATTCTTGTCGGATTTGCCTTCCTCCTTGTCCAGATAACGGGATCGCTCTTTTTATGTTTGACAAGAATGAGAACCTCCTTTTTAACATGTGACCTCAAAACAGTTTTGAGGATCTCGAATTATAATGTAAACGCGAAACGGTTCATACAAGCTTGGGAGGTATGAAATTTATCAAGTCTTCGATGATTAAATGCTAAGATCAGTGTCTTCTCTCCACTTCTTGATTCATTTTTTGTCTCGGCTTCGGTTCACCACTGAAGACGTGCTCTTCTTTTTCGCGTGTTTGGAGTTCGGACAAACTCGGCTTGGCCGTAATGTAAACTGTTCATTTTCCTGGCATATGGCGAAAGCCTCTTCTGATTTAGTCTTCTTTAATTCGCTCGAACGGGGCTGTTCGTTTGAAGGAAAATTGATTCAACGAAATTATGATTTCCGATTTTTCGGTATTTGGCAGTATTTGGACGATGGAAACAATTAAGTCTAGATTTTGAGAAATTGACTTCCTCTTCTGGCAAAATTGTTTTGTTTAAAGCTTTCAGTGGGCTTACCTCGGACTTCTTAGTTTACTTTGAGTCCAGTGCCAAATTGAGTGTAGTGCCAAATAGCCTTTTATCGAAGAGCACATCATCTGAGTTCATTAAAGCATATCGTTTCATACATACATTTGGCAACGAGAGCTCAGCCTTCGGGAAAGTGTCTTATCCTTGAGCTCTTTTCATAAGGATAAGGACAGCTTCGGCGGAGTATTCTAACAGGTGTCGAAACTTCCTTTCGACGATTCCAACATCAAGAAAAATCAAACTCTCCGTGTAAGTATTGCAACAATCAGTCACAAAAAGGACATAATATCAGAGCTTCAGCGGATGCCGTGACTCAACACAAACCCAAGAGAGAAACCGTAAGGAAAGACCCCCACGTCAACAGCCCTAATTATCTCTAACCTCCTCTCCAACACACGCACACACTAACTTAGATAGTACCAAACTCGAGCAGTTCCTGCGAATAAGTCATCTGACTCGGCAACAACTACGTGCCATTTTACTCAGTAAAACTAAAACGCATTTCTTAGTTACATGAGGCACCCTCGAAATTCGTAAGAACCAACGTCAGGTGTGGCGAAGTGTTTATTTAGGTCGACCAATCCGCTAGATCAAACATTGTTTTCATTATTGAGAATATTCATACAAGAAACACACAGCTCAAAACTCACCTGTTCATGGCAGAGGGACACAGAAACTAAAGGTCTAACAAAACTCCTGACGAAGACCGAAACACACCCACCAAGAAAAAACGAACCCAAAAAGGCCAAAGAGAAAAAAAAGGAAAGATCGAACTCGTTGTTATTCACTCAATAAAGACGGATTGGTTACTCGAAAGCCGTCTCAAAACCCGGACTTGCCGCCTCCGCCCCTGGACGGCCCGAAGGTGAGGAGCTCCTTGGACCGCACCCACGGCTTCACCACCACCACCGACTCGAACACCTTCCTCGCCCCGCGCTGCACCCCCTCGATCTTCAGGTAGTACTTGATCCCCGCCACCACCTGCCTCTCCGCCCCCACCACCGCCCTGAACACGATCTCCTCGTTCCCCCCTCCTCCTCCTCCTCCTCCTCCTCCTCCTCCGCCCCCACGGCGCTGGCGCTGCAAGCGGTTGTACTCCTCCACCGAGTACCGCCCCAGGTCCTGCACCTTCTCGTTCGACCTCACGTCGGGGACGGCGGTCCTGCCCCCGACTCGGGGGCCGACGTAGCCTCCGGAGGCGAGGAAGGAGAGGGCGGCGAGGGTTATCAGGAATAATACTGAGGAGGCCATGCGATGTTGTTTGCTGTTGCTGCTTGTGGTTGTTTGATGATGATGATGATGACGAAGATGGAAGGGTGAGATTGTTTGATGACACCGATGATGAAGTGATTACGTGAGTTTGCTTTGTATTTATAGAGGGAGAGAGAGAGAGAGAGAGTATGATTGCGGGTGGACACGCAAATTAAGGGAGGAGGTGCAGAGGATGAGACCGACGATGGCAACACATACGGCGTGCCGCGTCTTATACTTAACGACACCTCGTTGTTTGCTTCTTCATTATTTTGCATTGATTGACAAGTCGCTCTCTCTCTCTCTCTCTCTCTCTCTCTCTCTCTCTCTCTCTCTCTCTCTGCCCTAGTGGGGGCGAGCTCGTTTAAGATCCGTGTTAAAAAGTCCGACTCAAAAACTTGAATCAATAGGTGATCAGTGATTACATAAATTGTATTTTAACACATCTCTTGCATGCAAATCGGATTAGGAATGGGGTCGGCGCGCGCGAAATAGATGGGAGCCTCTACCAATTGTTTCAAAAGCTTGAGTTGATATGTGAAGAGAGATCGCAATTATGTAAAGAGTGTATAAACTCTATCGTCATGCGACATAGGATATTTCAAGTATTCGCAAGAGTTAGATATTTTCACATGAAATATCGTAACACGTCGGTTCTCGAGGCACTCGCCAAATTATTGTAATTTTTATTTTATATATGTAGATGACACGTTTATATCAATTAGATCTAGACAATACCATGTGCTCTCTTGGCCATACGGGATACAATCAGATCAATCCGAAAACGATGTCATCATCCCATATGGGAAAACCCATTTCCTGTGGAATGCAGTAGTGGCTCCACATCAGGCCTTTGCACCATCATTTTGCAAACCGTAGGCCTAAAAAAATTACACTAAACCACACAGATACTTGTCATTGTAAAATAAGTTCATTTTTCGCAGCATGGAGACCATAAAGGATGTGATTGTTTCGTGGAAAATAAATAAATTGTAAAATATTTTCCTAAAAATAATCAGTCATTTTCATTATTCACGATAATGCTTAGATAAAATTGTTGTCGATAATGAAAATATTTTTTATTGATTAATTATTTCAAGTAATAGAAGCGATTATTTTTAGGAATTATTCATTTTTTTGCGAAACAAACGAAGTAAAGCCTAATAATTTTCTATTAAGACGAAAAAACCCGCCTGAATATATGGTTCAGCTTCAACTTCAAAGGTTTGATGAGAATCTGGAATTTCACAAAGCTCGCACAGAGACTGGAGAAGCCATTCTTCTTCGGGGCCATTGCCGATTGGTAGGGTGGGCTTACGTGTCGGTTTGCGAGAGTGCGGCCTCGACACGTGGCGTCATTTGATTCGCTTGCCGCATGATCTCCTCACGAAGGATCACGTAGGCGGCTTCATTGTATGAGTTTTGTCTTACTGCAGGACGTTATCTGAAACTAGTGTTTTCTTGCAGGATCGACTATGAATCACGTTGAATCATTGTGCCGTGTGATATTTTGATGTGGACGCTGTTGACACCTAAATTTTGGCGTATCATTTAGTGTTATTTGCATAGAAAATTAGGGATTAAATTTTTAACCCCTAAACAAAAATATTTAGGTTGCATAACATATAGTTTAAATTCATTTTAGATTAATTGCATTTTGCATCGGACCGTCGGTGACGAACGAGCTTAAATTTCATCGAATGGGACTCGGCTCGCTTGGAATGCAAGGGCCGGGAATTATAAGTCAAACGGGCTCGGTTGTTTTAATTTGAGTTTAATTCAGCCCATTATGCTTAATTAAATAAAAGCCCAAGTTAAATCAGCCCATTTAAATTAAATTAAACCTAAGCCCAAGCCTAAGCCCATTAGGACTATAGAGCCCATCTAATTGACCTAGGTTAGCATTATATAAACATGTTTAGGTCAGATTTTTAGTGGGGGGGGCTTGGTCTTTTGGGATCTGATCACACACAAACACAGAGAGAAAACAAGAGAAAAAAGAGAGAAGAGGGGTGCCCGCGGCAAGCTCCTCCTGGTCACGCCTTGCTCCCGCACCTCCGCTGCTTGACGCTGACATCAGCCAGTCGTGAGCCTCAACGGTGATTCCTTGCTGCTTTGTGCTGTCCTTGCTCCACGACATTCGCTCCACCGTGGACGCTTGCACCCAACCGAGACGCTCCCATCCCGAAGCCCCGTTGACGACCAGCTGCTCCAATCCGACGATTCCCTTCACTGTTGCTGCTGTTCGTGAGTCGTCTAAATCATGGAGATCCCCCGCTGCACTTCCAGGCCACGACGTAGTTTTGCATTGTTACGGAGCAGCAAACCCAGCGAGTCACCGCGGCTGCCGGACCTTCTTTTCACGATCTTGGAATTGTCTTTTATTGTAGGATGGTTTGGGTCTTGCTGGGAGTCCAATAAATTTTCTTGCAGCACCGTGAGCAACACTCATCACGGCTCCCCCCGACTTGCCACCGAAAGACGTCCACACTGCAAGATTTTCCTTCCTTGACCGAGAACCACCGACCCAATAAGCTTCATACTGCCAATCCACGGAGACAACAACGTCGAAGGAGAAGTCAAAGACGGAGCCAAGTGGTGGAAGTTGATTGAAGGACTTTGACTACTCTTCAAAGGAAGAGCACGTTCTGCGCACTAAAGGAGGATTCTAAAAGGGCACATCTCCACTACAAAGCCGTCCCCCCAGCTTGCGGCCAGTCTTGCACGACGCTGTTATTCCTGCTGTTTCGAGCGCCCACGCCATTGTTGCCATCCCGACGTGAGCCGCCGCGCCGACGCTGCGTCGCCCGTCGTCCGAGTCCGATCCCGATCCACAATTCGAATTTGGAAGTTATCTGCAAATTAGGTAATTCAACATTATCCGATATTTTCAGAATATTTAATTTCCTAATATGGGTGTTTGAATATTTCGTGAATATCACGTGGATATTTAGAAATCTTAGGATAATGTTCGATATATCCGCAATATTTTTGAATATTCAAAATTAGGAAAACTTCCTAATTTAGCAACGTATCTGGACGACTATCCGACCTTATCCCTAAGGTTCGATACACGGCGATACGGAAAATTATTATCCTATCCATAATCACTTGGGTACGATAATGATTTTTATCCCCCTTCCAAATTTGAATAATCGGCTTTCCGTCGATATCTATAACCCTATAGATATGACCGATAGTTTGATTTGTATGCCTAATCCGAGTTTGAAACAAATATGGCGGATCGCGTGGACGTTTTGAATGTGGTTGCTATCCTTGTTTATTTAATTGCTTTCCTTTTTCAAATAAACAGAAAATTCAAAAAATATTAATTAGATTTGAATTAGAGTTTTTGCATGTCTAGGAATCCTAAATATATCTAGAAGATAGAGTAGTTATTTAATTTAAATTAGGACTTGAGATGATTTATTTCCTAGTTTAAATTAAGTAATATTCTAATCTTAATAGATTATTCAGGTTATTTTATTATTTCGAATTTCCATGAAAATCCCAAAAAAGAAGAATGAATTGTTTTAGGATAGATTAGGATAGATTGTATTCTTAATTTAAGTAATTCATTATTTCGAATTTTAACAAAAATCCTAAAAAGAAATCATGCTAGGGTAGATTAAGTCATCATAGTTTGCATGTTAATTTAGGCATTTTTATTATTCCGAATTTAAATTGAGAAAATACCAAAAATAATCATTCGTCCTGTCATTAGAAATAGGTCACGTCGTCGCACGACGTATAGTTTGCATGCTAGGTTGCATTAATCGCATGTCATTTTCGCATGTCATTGCATATAGGCTAGATTTCATTTAAATAAGTGAAAATCCAAAAAAAGAAATTGAGTGAATTGCTTGTTAATTAGAAATCATATTAGGGTGTCAATGTGATTTTCTAGCTAACAATGCAGATGCTTACGTTGCTTCAAGGTAAGTAATTCTTCCAAACTTGCAATTTATTTAATACTTTCTGGGTGTTAAATTGGTGGTTTGCGCACTCGCATGAACACCTCACATGTTAGTAACTAAGTTGAAATGGATCCAAACTGCCTGCCAAAACATTTTTGAAAAGAAAAGGTACCGAAAGGGCGTTAGACCAGATCTAGCGTAATCAAGTTCCCGGGCTTAGAATCTCTGGTTCGTAGGAATAAAACATATCTCCCTATGTTTTATTTAGGTTTCTAATCAACCTACCATAAATTGATTAGTGGCGACTCCGAGCATAAAAACTTTTGCATGTTAAAAACTTAAACTCTAAGTTGCGAATTGGTAGGGCTTGGGAGGGCCCGAGTTAAGATTAGTCTTAATAATCCATTAGCTTGAGAGAAATTTCGGGTCGCGACAGACGCGATTGCTGAAGATCTTTTTGGATCGTTTGAACAAGTAAAATATCTAACGGGGGCGAGCACGGAGCTTGGATTTGCGCGGCGCGCCATAGAATGACCGTGATTTTTTATTAGACCTGTCAAAATATATCATAGACTCATTTCCTAATTCATATATGATTGATTGAGTTACATTAAATGGGTTTAAAATGGTAAAATTTAACATTATATGGATATTAAATGGGTTTGCAACTTCCTTAAACACTACAAAAAAACATGTAATTTGCGACGGAAAATTTTCGTCGGAAATTTGCGACGGATTATATTTTCCGTCGCAAATTAGCGACGGTTTATTTCCGTCGCAAATTTGCGACAGAATTTGCGACGGATGAAAAATCTGTCGGAAATTTGCGACGGAATTTTTATCCATCGCAAATTCCGTCGCAAATTTGCGACGGAAAAAGTTCGTCGCAAATTTCCGACGGAAAAAAAAACCGTCGCAAAATCCGTCTCAAATTTGCGACAGAAAGAAGTTCGTCGCAAATTTGCGACAGAAAATAAATCCGTCGCAAAAAGTTCGTTGCAAATTTCCGACGGAAAAAAAAAACCGTCGCCAAATCTGTCGCAAATTTGCGACGAAAACGAACGTCCGTCGCAAATTTGTAGTTTATCAGCCCATGATATTCCAACCCTATCTCTCTCTCGCTCTCTCTCACTTTTCTCCCTCTTTCATATGTCTGAAATCAGCAAAATTCGCGCACGCACATATTAATCTCGGTGAAGCTTTTGTACCGGTAAGTATCGTAGCTAGCTTCGTGACTA